TTTTAGGGTCATTAATATTGGCAAGATTCTATTCAACTGTTTGCAGTTTGTGTTCCGATAGTAGTTAAAATGTATGAATAATATATCTTAAAATACACCAAGTTGTGTGTGTGTAATCAACAATCTATTAGGCATAAGATTTCCGAGAATGCACTGCGAAACAGTGCACACCTTTGTAATTTATTTGAAAATCTTGCGTTAAGATTTCCTATATTTAAGGTAAAAAGATATGAATGATCTACATATTAAATAAAATTAAACTCTTATTCCTACGGAAAGAATACTATATCTAGTAATAAATCAATCTTCAAAGATTCACAAAATATCCAAAAACAGTAATGTCGTTTCTTGTTTAAGTAACTTTCCAATCGGACATACTTCACGCAGAACCAGAAAGAAATTTATTTTATTAAGTAGTTTACGAAAAAAATTTTAAAACTTATAGCCGTTCAATCTTAATGATTTTTATATTAAATTAGGGTACACACTTCGCCTTACACGAACAATACCTTTTCAAGCTGAAATTCTCGCGTTTTAAATACTTAAAATCCCAGAAAATGAAATGCAGAAAAGTACATATATTTTACACATAGCTGTCATATCTTTGAAACGTTCTCGTCAATATATTATACTTAGAGTGAACTAATTTTAAAAAACTTTATACTAAATTATAGTACACTCTTTGCCCTACACGTACAATAYTTTTTWARGCTAGTAGTCTCTATTTTTTTACTAGTATTTTTTATTTACTAGTATTGCCTGATTTTCCGCTTTGGCGGTAACATTTATATTGATTTAATCATTACATATCTTTTAACGTACTTTGAATAGAGTAATTAATTTCTTAATAGTAATATATTAAGTAATAATATAATATATTTAGTAATTAGAATATATTATTCGATTTAGAATAAGGAAATGACTTTAAATTACAAGTCAGTAGATCGATATGTTCTGCAATTAAATATTATTATGGTGTAATATTATATAACGTTTGTAGTTACATGTTGAAGTATATGTCATTTAGAAATATCGATTGGAATATATTGGAATAGAAAATGTAGACGATTTATAAAGAATCTTTGAAGATAGTTGTATGTTCTGCAGTTGAGTCATGGATTCTAACGATAAGGAAGGGAGGATGGGTAGTTGAACTAGCTAAGGATTTGATAATTCAGTGGGAGGAGACCTTACTCAATTACTCACGTTTCAAGCACTTAAACTAACTTCTAAATCAGCATTTCTCAACTTTTCTGTTGTGTTGCGTAATGAATTTTTTTATAATGATACCGTGATCTAAATGTTCATAGCATATAACGATTTATAAATAACTTCGCAGATTGCGATATTTTCGTGATTAACATGTCGGAACAATTTATCTCACAAATAAATGTTGTGTGTTTGAGATAAAAATGTGCAATTTTTTATTTATAACACTCAGTACGTGAATATTTCATATATAAATCATAAAGGAACTTTGATCTTCTATTTCTCTTTCTTAGAAATATATGAGTGTAAATTCATTTGCGTCGTACACGCTACACGTACATATTATGTAAGATACATTTAGGTGTGTAATGTGTCTATATTATGTATGCGTTGAGTTATCTTGTAAGATATGATATACGTGAACGTTCATTCGGAATTTCAAATCGAATTCCATTCGCACAGCAGATGTAAGAGTGTTGAGACTATTATTGTGTATTTGACGTGTTAATAAATCGTTAATCTAACTAACGATAATATTTAATTATTAAAGTAATTTACTCGAAGTGAGATGCTTCAGTAAGTTCGTACTCTGTTATTTTTTTATTTTAAAAACAGTTGAAAATTGTTTATTTCTAGTGTTGAAATAGCAACCATTGTGAAAATACTGGTTTTACGCAAGATTAAATTTGTCATTTTTATTACAAGAGATAATAGAAAATGGCAACATCTA